CCTCTCAATTTAAATCGGTGTTTAACTTTGCCTTTTGATGTTTTCAATGTGTTTTTAACTCTGGGCCAGGCACGTGTGTGTCTAGATAATGTGTTTCAGTTGTGACACCTTCTGTGCTACATCCTTAGTACTTCCACGTGCAAAGCTTTGGAGAAGTGGACCAGCTTTTATTATTGTTTCTTAAAAGACTTTGGAGCACCAAAGGCAGAGTATTAATGTAGGAACCTCTCAGAATTGCTGCTGGTGGTTTGTTAGTAGTTTTGGATCTGTGATCCCTCAGTGTGGAAGAAATTATTAGTGTAACTTTATGCACGTGGTTCACACAGCTTGAAATGCACTCTTAGGGGTAAGTTTTCCAAGAATCACCTCAAAATCCAAGGGAGCCTGTTAGGAAGAAATCAGACTGGGGATCAGAGGTTTAAAAAAGGAAAAAACCCAACACATCCCCTTAGAGAATAAGGTTGGGCTGCAGTTTCCCTTCTGCCTTGCCATGTCCTGGTGCAGCACAGCTGGGGAACTGCAGAGTGGTGCTTGTGGGTGTGTTCTGACCTTGTGGGGCTTGGTTTGGGATTGTTTGGCTGTGGGTTTTTATTTTCTCCTCTAAGGTAACTCATGGGTTAATTTATACCAGCACATGTTGATATAAAGAACATTTCTCTCTGCATTATCTTCCTGTGGTTGATTTAATGTCCTTTTTTGGAGGAAGAGACATTGTAACAGAAGGTCTTTCTTGAGGCTGGAAGTTTTAACCATCAACATAAAGCAGAGCCCTTCAGAAGGTTATTTTGTTCTGTTTTGTGGCCTTTTCTTTGCCCCTGTGAGAAGTGCAGTGTAGCTGTGAGTGGATGTTTGCTTCAGTAATTCCCAGCTGCTTCTGATTTCAGTCACTGTCCTTTGATGTTCTGCAGTATCTGTAGATAACTGTCCTTTGGGCAAAGGAAAAGAAAGCAGAAATTAGAGAGGGAGTTGGGAACATTCCCTTGGGAGGAAGAAGCTGCTCATAAAACAGCAAACTCCACCTTTGTCTCCTCCCCTTCCATCCATGGAGAGCCATGAAAAGAGCTCAAACCCCAGCAAAATCTTGAGGGGAAAAATATTTGAATTCTAAGCACTCCCAAAATTTTAAATGGTGCCATCTGGTCTGTGTGTGTGAACTGTTACCAGGAATCACTGAGCTGTGCTGGCTGCGGAATATCCAGGAACCAGCAGTTCTGGATGAGGGCTTAGGGAAAGTCTGTATTTTTTTTTATTCCCCCTCTCCATCTAAATAGATTCAGTGAACTGGGAATCTGCAGAAATGGAAGCAGGTGGTGAGAGGTTCAGGAAAAGCCTTTATTCCATGATCCTTTTGGATCCCAGTGGTGTGGGCAACATCACAGGAGGGAAAAGCCCCATTTGGTTGGTCCCAGCAAATGTGGCCAGAGAGAACAGCATCCATTTGCAGAACAAAACAGAAATGCTTTGGTACATAAAGCTGCAGGTAAATGTACGATCTAATTTAGGTTGGGAATTAATTAATACTGTTGAATTTTACTGCAGAGGGATCATCCCAGTTTCTGTGAGGGAAGCAGGGACGGCCTTGACTCCTGACAGCTGCTACCTGCCAAAACAATTAATCTGGGAATAGATGGAGACCAAAGTTTCTCAATTAAACAGAAGTATTTCTTAATTGCTTATCCTTCTGGCAGCAATTACTAATACCAAATTAATTCCAGTATTCCTGGGGCCAGTGATAAAGATTGATTGGATTGTTGAGACATTAAATGGTTTATTTTTCCTGTTTGGTCACATCCCTCTCCACAGTCCATCCTCTGCCTTCCCTTTGCTTCCTGAAGCCTTCTCCAGGCTCAGCTGTTTGCAGCAGGCAGGAGATGTTGGAGATAAGTTAAATGTCTTGCACAATAAAATCATCAAACCAGGTTGTTGTTAGAGACACAATGTCAGAAATTTGGCTGAGGAGCTGCAGCAGCATTGCCAGAGCTGCTCTGTGTGTGTGTGATCAGCTTCCTCATGGATCCTGCAGGAGTTGAGCTGAGGAATAACCTTTGGAACACCATCCATAAAGGTCTTCCCTCTCCTGTTGGTAAATGTAGCAAAAGAATCTTACCCAGATGGTTTTATTTACACGTGGGGAGCAGCAGAGGAGTGGAAACCTGGTGTGGATGCTGGAAACAATTCTGATTATCCTCTCTTTTGGAGGGCATTTTACAAACTTCAGGATCAGATTTTTGCCAAGTGCTGAGCAGCCCTGGAACTCACCTTGAAGGAGAACTGGAGTTATTCTGGGCTGGGACTCGAAAAGCATCTGTTTGTTCACCTGAGGTGTTGCTCTGACTGATGGAGCTGTGTGAGCACTGGAGTTTTCAGCACATTATTTCCTTAAAATAAGAACTGTCATCTGCCTCTCACTGATGGTGTGTGGAGTAACGTGGCCTTGAAATTTACTTTTGAAGGACTCCCTGAGTAACCAGGGATTTCTTCACAATTAAATCTTTAATAAGGTCATAATTCATATCTTCAGGGCACTGCATAAACACTAATTTTTATAATCTCCCTGTGGATGGGGAGAGCAAGTGTTGTCCCCATTTTCCTGTCGGTAGGACTGGGAATGAGGCAAAACCACTTCTCTGAGGCTGCAGAAGAGATGAGGAGCTGAAGGGAGGGTCAGAGTTTGGGAAGTCCCTGGTTCTCAGGACATCATTAAACAGCTCCTGCCCAACACACAGAGACTGTGCTTCCTGGGGAGTGGCTGGGAGTGCTGGCAGGGATGGAGCTGGAGGAAACCAGAGGCAATAAAGCCATTTCTAGAATAGCTCTGACTCCCCACCTTTCTGTGGGCAGTGAGGACACGGGTGAGGAGTTGGTCCATCTCTGTTAACCTGGTTATGCAGTAACTGAGGACTCGGATGTGACAAAGGTTAGAAGCCTCTTGCTGCTGTTTGGCCCCCTGATGGTGGATGGATCTCCTGGGGGCAGGACAGAGCCCTGTGGCAGTGCCTGAAGGAGGGAGGTCATGTCTGCAGGGTGGAAAATGCTGCTCTGAAAAGGAGAGGACAGGGACAGGCACTGCTTTGTCCACGGCTCCCCAAATCCACAGCAGCTGCCTGTGGATCCCTCAGGGTTTCACAGCTCAGATCCAGTCTCATCTTCCACCTCTCAACGTGCAGAAAAGATAACTCAGTTTTGGAGCAGGATTTTTCTGCCTCTGATGAGGTTTAGAGGAGTTCTGTCACACTGTCTGCAGCCCCAAAGGACAGTGCCCGTTCCTGGAAGTGTTCCAGGCCAGGTTGGACGGGGCTTAGAGCAACCTGGTCTGGTGGGTGCAGCCTGGCAGGGGTTGTACAAGATGATCTTTAAGGTGCTTTCCAAGCCCAGCCATTCTGTGATTATCATAGAATCAGCTGGGTTGGAAGGGACCTCTGAGATCATCAAGTCCAACCCTTGATCCAACCCCGCCGTGGTTCCCAGGCCATGGCACTGATGCCACATCCAGTCTCACCTTAAAAACCTCCAGGGATGGAGAATCCCCCACTTCCCTGGGCAGCCCATTCCAATGGCTGAGCACCCTCTCTGCAAAGAAATTCTTCCTGATCTCCAACCTAACCCTCCCCTGGCACAGCTTAAGACCCTGCCCTCTTGTCTTGCTGGGGGTTGCCTGGGAAAAGAGACCAAGCCCCACCTGGCTACACCCTCCTTTCGGGGAGTTGTAGAGAGTGAGGAGGTCGAGGCTTATATTTGAGCCTAACTGTGTATTTTCCTTCCCCCTCAGCTGTCGGAAGATGAGCCGTGGCCACGCCTGAGCGCCGCCGAGCCCGTCCCTCCCCTCCTGCACAGCCCCGCGCTCACAGACAAGTACCTGGAGCTGCCAACCGAGATTGCCAAAAGCAGCGTCCCTCCCTCGGGAGGAGCCCCGAAGGATTCCGGCCCCCAGGAGGAGAAGTGCAGCAAAGCGCTGGCTCTGCGGATACAGGAATCCTACGGCAGCGGCCTGTCGGTCAGCCTGGCCCCCTCCAACTCCGCCAACTCAGGCACGGACCAAAAAGGCTTCAAGGTGTCCCCTGCCGGCCAAACTAAAGCGCAGGAGGCGGAGAAAACGCCCGCGGCGAACTTTAAAAGGACCTTGGAGGAATCCAACTCGGGCCCGGCGGTGAAGAAGCCGCGGCGGGGGCTGGGCCGGGCGCTGGGCCCGCAGGGGGAGGCCCCGGCCCGCAGGACCCCCGCCAAGCTGGCCATGAGGCGCAGCCTGCGCGGGCAGAAGAAGCTCAGCCCCGGCCTCTTCCACCCGCCCAGGAAAGCCGTGTGCGTGTGCTGAGGGAGGCACAGGAGGCGCTCAGTGGGTGCAGAAAGTTTTGGAAACTCTTTTATCTTTTTTTAATAAAAGTAGAAACTTTTTTTGGTATCCGACAGCTTTATCCCCCCCTCCACCCCCTCCCGGCCTTGTACTTGCTTGTATTATAACTGTGAATTTTGTAGATGTGTAGGGTATAAGTCACTGTAAAATGTGTGTAAATTTGTATTCCTTCATATAAATGTAGTCTCTTTTTTTCTTCCTTGTATAATTGTTTTAAAACCTTGTTTTTAAAAAGGAAAAAAAAAAAAAAACCCGAACACAAAAAATTAATCCTTTTTGTTAATTTACTAAAGTCATCGATTTGTATACGCTTCTTGTGAGGAGAATTTCACAACTTTTTAACGAAAGTAAATTATTAAACAGAACGGGAGATATGTATTTTCGTAGTCCAATATGTTCCACCTAAGGTGTGTCTTTTAGAGAATACACTAGGTCTATATTTTGGTTTTAAATTTTAGATTTCTCTACTCAGAAATGAAATGTATGTGGAAGCAGAGATTTGGGTCTTGCTTTACACACCTCCATGTCGATTTTATGTTCATTAAAATACTATGCAGTATCTTTATTTAGTTGTATTTTTTGTAACAATGATCGTCAAAAGTATTTAGCAAAAAAAAAAGTGTGTTTTAAAAAAAAACTCCCAACTCCCCAGAGCATCCAACAAAGCCATTCCCATCCCCTGTTCCAGATGATGGCATTTTATCCAGGCATAACTGCCCTTTGGAGACGTGTTTTCTGGTATTCCAATACTGATGGTGCTGCTAATACCTTTCAACACAAGTTCTTAAATTATTTTATGACTATTTTCATTGACTGTGTGGACCATGTGTATGTTCACCTCAATAAAACACATGAAAATCTCAAGGGGATGCTTTTCATTTTTTAATTTTATTTCAGGCACGAGTTCTGTTATTTATTAAACAGCATGATATGAATTTATTATTCCAGAATAAATTCATGTTTGTTTTGCATTCATTACAAATCTGAATATTCTCCCCTTTTCCACTTAGGAAACAAGACATCCCACACAGGTTTATCATGGAAGTGATCTTGGCAATTTATACTGAATGTTTACTGGAGCAATAGAGAACTTTTTAAAAGGTTGTTTTAACGGGGAAGTAAAATGATTATTTATAGAATCCAGTTGTTTACTGCTGGAACAGTCAAACACAGGTTGGAACCAGGCCTGCCATCTATACACGTTACCATGGTTACAGAAATCCCAGGAGATTTGATTCCTGAAAATGTCCAATTCTCTTGCATCCCTGCTGGGAAGGCAGCGCTGTCTGGGGACGTGGAAGTACCGGTCTGTCCAAAGGGATCCTGCAGGAATGTTACTCCTGTGTATTTTGCCCACCTATTTATCACTTGGCTTCTCTGAAATTAATATTCAAAGCCGAGACAGCCAAGAGTGGGAATTTACACCTGGTGTGCGAGCACAGGCTCCTTTGGTAAAATCCAAGTTACACCAACTTTTCCTCTCTTGAGAAACAAAGCTCCAGTATGTGCAAACCTGCTAACAGGTGTTTGCGGGTGTTTGCTGGGTGGCTGTTTAATTCTTTAGGTATGCAGAGACGGTGACGTGCTCACAGGGTGGATTCCTGGAGCTGCTGCTGGAAACCTGAGCTGAGCAGGGCCAGGGGCGTCACCCTGAGGGCTGCGGGCACCGCTGGGCACTGCAAACATAAATCACAGCCTGGGGGCGTGGGAAGGGAACTTAAAGGTCACCCAGTGCCACCCCTGCCGTGGGCAGGGACACCTTCCACCAGCCCAGGTTGCTCCAAGCCCCGTCCAACCTGGCCTTGGACACTTCCAGGGATCCAGGGGCAGCCACAGCTTCTCTGGGCAACCTGTGCCAGGACCTCCCCACCCTCACAGGAAAATATCCGATTTAAATCCACCCTCTGTCAGCGTGAATCCATTCCCCGGGCCGTGTCACCCCATCCCTTGTACGAAGTCCCGCTCCAGCTCTCCGGGAGCCCCTTTAGGCACTGGAAGGCGCTCTAAGGTCTCCTCGGAGCCTTCCCTTCTCCAGCACTGGGGCAGCGCTGCCACAGCACCCACATTCTGAGCGACACCCGCTGCTGCCCCTCAGGAGCCGCTGCCTCGGCCCCGCGGGGCTTCACCCCGCCAGGATCCTCTTCCTGCTCGTTCCCCGTGCTCCCCTCGCCGCGCTCACCTTCCCTGGGCCCCGCCGAGCCGCTCTCGCCCCGGGAAAGGCTCGTCACCCCCTCATCGCCCGCCCGTCCGCCCGGTCCCCTCACGGTCCCCTCACGGTCCCCTCACGGTCCCCTCACGGTCCCCTCACGGTCCCCTCACGGTCCCCTCACGGTCCCCTCACGGTCCCCTCACGGTGGTGACCACGCCCCGTGACGTCACTAATCGGGGCGGGCTCCACCCCCGCCAATCCGGCGCGGCCCCGCCTTCCTCCTCCCCTCCCCGCCCCACGTGCGCGCGGCGGCTCTCGCGAGATCTCCGATGTAAACAAAGCCGGGGGGCGGGGCCGGAGGAGGTGGCTCCGCCCGCCTTCGGCCGCGTCCCATCGCGCCCCGCCCACCGCCCGGCGGCGCGGCCGCCCATTGACCGAACTGGAGGAGCGGCCCGCCCCCGCGGCGCGCTGATTGGTGGCGGGCGCGGAGCGCTCGTTGTCATTGCCCTGGGGGTCCCAAACAGTGTCAGTGGCGCCGGGAGCGGCGGCAGGTGAGGGGCGCGCGGGCTGAGGGGGCGCCGCGCGGGTTCGCGCGCGGGGCAGCGCTGAGGCGGCTCCGAGCGGGCTCCGAGCGCCGGGGATGCGAGGCCGGGGCGGGCCGGGGGGCGGCGGGCAGCGGGCAGGGCAGGCCGGGCCGTGCGGCCTGAGGGACCCCCGGCGGTGCGGCGGGAGGGCGCGGGGCGGGCGGCGAGGCCGCGGCCCCGCTCACCGGGCGGTCCCGGTGAGGCCGCGGCCCCGCTCACCGGGCGGCCAGAAGGGGGACAAAAGGCCGGGCAGGTCGCGGCGTTTGGGTGGGAGTTGCTCAATAGCTGAGGGTGCCCGGCCGGCCCGGCCGCGGGGGGGGACGGGGTGTCCGGGTTGGGGCGCAGTCGTGTGGAATCCCCGAAGATGAGGGGCTGAACTGTGTTCAGCTGCTCCCTGCCCCTCGCGGGGGTGGCACCAGGTGTTGGCACTCAGGGCTGGGCGGGCACAGGTGTCCCGAGGGTGGGTTCATCCTTCCCGTGCCATTTTGTGTTTTGCGGTTCCTTCACGTGCGTGTCACGCTGCGGTTGTGTCCCTGGAGGTTTTGTTATTAATTATTATTTTTTTAATTAATTTCCGGGTGGCTGTCTTGCCTCACTGAATGAGTTGGCCCTGACAGAGTCTGCCCCGACGTGAAACGATGCTGGTGATTGGTACCACGTTGGGGATTTGGCTTTTTTCTCTCACTTTGTGCCCAGGTTCTTGGTTTGGGGTGGGGGGACACAGCCGAGTGGACTGAGGAGCTGGCAGGGATCTGTGATGCTCCTCAGGTGCTTTTTGCCTTTAGGAACCTTGCCCAGAATGTTCACACAACAGAAGTGTGAAGAAAAGCTCACAGGTGGCACGAAAAGCAGACATGGAACAGCAGAATGTGTTCCACCACACTTTTTGTGTGATCTTCAGTGTAACCCATTTTTTTTCAAGAGTACAATACACTGCAGTTGTGACTGTATATTATTTTTATATAATTATCTTCCAAGACAACAGTAAATAGTGGGTTTATGTGATGATGGGAACACCTGTGTGCCTGTACCACTGTCTTCAGTCATGGAATTGTTTGGGTTGAAAGGGTTGAGAGTCGAAGGTGCTTTTCCAGTTTGTCATGCAGGTCTGTGGGGTGTTTTTTTGCTTCCACAAACACTCCAGGAGCTGCAGTGACTGAGACACTGCAAAGAGAAATGGCTGGTTTGGCGCGTGCTTTTCTTTCGCTTAAAAAAGAAGTGCTGTGAAGGCGCCTACAGGTTTGTCCGGGTGGAGTTTCTCTGCTACAACCTTGAAGAATATGTCAGGGAGTTTGTAACAATTAATCCTGCACAGGTGATGTTAAACAGGGCTGTGTTTCCTGCAGGTGTGAGCACAGAAACGATGGCGACAGAGTCCCCGCGCCGGCCCAGCCGATGCACAGGAGGGGTGGTGGTTCGGCCTCAAGCTGCCACGTAAGAACCTTCTAGAAGAGCAGCCCTGAGTGAAATGCTCTTTATTTTCTTGTAGAAGGACCTTCCTTGCCTGAGTTTTGTGGGGTGTTTTTTTTCCAAGCCAGCTGGGAGGGCTGGTGTTGCCACTGCACTTTTCCCAAAAGTCAGCACACATTTCATTCCCATCTTTTAGGTGCAGGTCAAACTTGTCTCCCTGCCTGGGATGCTTTGCACCTGTACACCAAAGCAAAGTTGCAGGTTTAGAAAACTGAAATGTTGCATAGTTTTGTTGTTGTTTGCACCATTTTGCTGCACAAATGCTGCCCTGGCTGTAGGTTCAATGGTGCAAACTTCCTTAGGCCAGAGGGACATGCTGCACATGCTCCTTTCCTGCTGTTCTCTTCAATAACACCTTGCCCCCTGGGCTGGATATATTAAAACACATAAAACTTGTCATTAAAGTCCTTCAGTAAGTAGAGTTGAGCATTCTATTTCTTTTTTTTTTTTTAACTTAAAAGAACAAAACCAAGAGGAAAGGAAGCGGCTCTGTCTCTTTGGCCAGAGCTCCCAAGAGACCATTTTTGTCCTTGGGCATCCTGGCTTTCATCGTGTTCACATGGAAATACTTTCATGGCAAAAGAGCTTTTGGGCTGTAAGACAGCCTAGAAGATTTATGGTCTTTTTTTCCTGTCCTTTAAGGGATTTTTTTATCAGTTTTTCTTTCTTGGGATGCTTACACTGCTGGAAGATAACACTCCATTGAAATATTCCCTTCAGTTTTTACCCCTGTGTGCTTAAACATCAAGATTCACTTTATTTTTACTGGAGAGCACAAAAAACTGATTGTTGTAGCACAGAAAGTTGTGCTAGAGGTTTGTCTTGCAGCCCTGTGACAGAGGAAGCATTTTTTTATATTTTTTTTATGTTGCAGAACTCCTCCACACACACACTTCCCTTTGTAATGACCTTTTCTTGAAAGTAGGCTTTAAGAATATAATACTAGAACAACGCTGCAAGAAGCTGATTATGATGGTTATCTATTCTTTTTATTTTTTTGTTCTTTTTAAATCTGGTGTCTTGTTCTTGAGGTACCTGTGCTCACCTCACAGATGTCAGTGTTTTTGAGGCTGTGTGTGCTGAGCAGCACAGCAGCATTCTGCTGGTCATGTTAAGTTTCTAGATCCCTATTAGGGAAAGATTTTTATATATATCTATATGTATTTTGTGGCTTATGTTGTTTTTAAGCACATTAAAGACCTCTCCCTGGAAGTTTTTCAGCCTCAGGAGGGATTTAGAGCACATACACTGCATAAAACGTTGCCCTGACATCAAATCTGTTTTGACGTGTAGCTGAGGGAGGGAAAAGTCCATTCCATGAGCTGAACCATGGGGACAGGATGACTCTGGCTGGGAGGCATTCCCAGACCTTCAGACACTGTGTTTAGCACCCTACCTGTGGCCAGGCATTATAATCAAGGGCTCTGAAGGTGTGCAAGGGCAGTTTGGGTGACCTACATAAATCAGAGAGGAATCAGCACCAGAAACCCACAGCTCGTTTGTGAGGCCTCAGCCTAAAGCAGTGGGACAAACTGGGATGCAGGAATCCTTGGGTTACTGGACAGAGGCTGGTTTGGCCACGAGCTGGAATAAGCTTTCTAAAAGTTAAGACTTTGTTTTAGTTTTATCTGTGTTTTCAGAGAGGAAAACTAATCCAGCTGGGGCAGCATTTGACTTCGATACCTTCTGTATTGCTGTGTGCAGCAATAATTCTTCAGAGGACTTCACTCTTCAGTGCTAAACGTTCCCACTTCTATTAAAACACTCTTGCAGAGCTTCAGAAAGCACCTTTGGCCATCCAGGAGTTTACAGGTTTCCTTTGTTGCTCTTAGAAATCTCGAGTTAGCACAGAAAAAAACTGCGACAGCGTAAAAGTTAATTTGGGGGCTGCCAAAGCTGTTGCCTGAAGAGTTGTTTTGGGTTTTTTTTTAAAGTAGTCCCAGACTGTGTGAAGGTAGTTCTTGCTGCCAGAGTGCCTCTAGTGTTACTCACTGCATAGAAACCCAAACTTCTTGCATAGTTTCAGCACCATCTGTGTGACCTGCTCAGCCCACACCACGTTACTCAGCACTTACACAAGACACTCCCCACCTGGGCAGGGCTGAGCTAATAAAAGCATTACTTTAAATCTACCCCAAAAAATGCATCTCACGCTTCACACCATCGTAACTCATGGCTGCTGGTGAACTTCCAAGAAGGAATAAGCTTTCCCAAGCTATAAAATCTCTTCTGAAAATACCTCTCCCCCTGCTATTCTTAGGGAGGATGTTGCTCCATCTCCTGCCCCCCTCGTGCTGCCACTTCCTCCATCCTTGTACATAATGCACAGGAGGGCTGGAAGCTTCCTTGTCCCACCATCCCCTGTTTAAATCCTCATTTTCATGTTGTAACAGCCAAATCAGGGAGAAAAATACTGAGAGATAATTTCCTGATGTGGAGAACGTGGCTTATTCCTTCATTTTTAGGTTTTATACTTCCCCCCCAAGCAGTTATTCCATAAGGAGGTGTCACTGAGCTTTTTTATTACTTGTATTTAGTCCTTTCATTACTTACAGGCCAATATTTATATTATCAGTGTTTGGCAGTATACTGAATAACTGCATTGCATACTTGGTATTTTCCTTTGTGCTGAAGGTTGTCCATGTTTCCTCTGGTTCTGTGTGTCTTATTTAATATTTTTCATGACCATTTCTGAGCTTCAGTGGGAGTTGAAATTCTCCTTCTGTTTTCAAGGGAACAGTCCTACATGGAGAGTGTTGTTACCTTCCTGCAAGATGTTGTGCCACAGGTATGTGCAGGTCTTTAAAACTGGGGTTTCCTTTTGAGTGGAAATGTGTGTCAGGTGGACCAAAATAAAGTAAAATAACCCAGACAAACAAAAGCCAAATGTTTTGGCCTTTTGAATGTGAATCTTGAGACGGGGTTTGTGAGCTCAGGCTGCAGAGCAGCTGAGGGTGGGCCTGCACACTTCCTCTGATGAGTAAGAATGAAATGAAAATCACAGCCACACAGTGGAAGAACTGCAGTATAAATAGCAGGAAGAGGATTGCAGCTTTTCCTTGGATAATTTGAACAGTGGAAGAGCTGGGGAGGGGAGGGACTGCCTGTCATACTCGCTCTGCCTCTGACAAATATGAGTTTTCTGGGAGGAGGTGGTTGTAAACCTGTGGCTGGATTGGTGCAGGACAAGTTGGTGCACACCCTTTGTCACCTTTTATCGTTGAAAAGGAGAAAGGGAGGCAAAAGAAACTTGCTCCTGCTTTTATATCTTGTTTCCTCAACTTGCCCCAGCCTGTCCTGGCTGCTGTGGGACTGTCAGCTCTGCCTGACCCCTGCTCCTCCAGCCTGCTGAGGAGTCCTCACTCTTTGTCAGTGTATTATTTCATATAGTAGATAAATTTCTATAAAAATATATTTAGATTTATCAATATAAATGTGTGGATATTGAATTTATGTATAAATATTTTGATATTTGTATATAATAAATGTGGAACTGGAATGGTCCCTCCCAACGGGCCTCTCGGTAGCAGAGGGGCAGGAATTCTGTTTTCCTCTTTGGAAAGCTGTGGTCCATAGTGGAGGAGCCCTCATTGGAGCCTCAGGAAACAATCCTGATTGTGATCTGAAGGATTATCTTGGTTAGTTGGTGCCTTGGTTTCCTCGTGGAGTTCCTCCTGGGAATTCCCAATGGGATAAATGATAATGATATAAAAAAATGCCCTGAATAACAGCGATTTGTGCAGTGCATTTTGGACTCAGGGGTAAATTAAGCATAGTCCAGCTTTCATTTAGGAGGTTGCTGCATTCCACAGCCACCCCTTTCCCCCTCTGGAGTTACAGGATCCAGTCTGTGTTTTATTTCCCAAATCAGTTTTGCCTTTGCGAGCCCTGAACGTGATTTGTTTTGAAAAGTAAAACCCCACGCTTATTTTTCAGATTTGGGTGTTTTTAGCTCATGTTATTGCTTTTCTGGCATGTGTGAAGTGATTATACAGGCTCTTTTCATATTTAATCCAAAATACTGCTCAGCATTTTGTTATAATTCACTTGGAAGTGCTGGTATTTCTGCTGGAGCTCACGTTCTCCCCACCACAGCTTCTCCTGAGAACTGTAAAACCTCCAGCTTGGAAGCACTGCAGGGGCTCCTCCACAGTTCCTTTTTGTATCTCATCTTTTTATGGGAATGTGTGGAACCCAGAACTGAAACCTGGATCTGTTCTGCTGGAGTTCAGAGTTGATTCTCTTTTAAATGGCTGCATTAAAGTTGTCACAAACGGACCTGAAAGGTGGCAGGGAAATAAACTGTCCAGTAAAGGTCCCTTTCTTTCCTCAGTCTTGCTTGCAAAGCTTTTGAGTGAAAGAAAGAGGATTTTAATAATAAAACACCTCGTGTGAGAGCTCTAACACTGCTTTTAGAAGCAGTGTACAACTGCTGAAGGTAAAGATTATAGAAGCCACTGTATTTAACTTTACTGACCTGCTGTAATTCATGTGGCATTTCTGACCTGCCCCAGCACATTGATTGCTGTATATATTTTGTATATATTTTGTCATTCCTGCATTAGTAAGTGGTGTTTAACATGGTTATGTTGCTCATGGAAACATTTCATTCCTGAAAACCAGACCTCCCAGGAATACTGGGGACAACGAGACACATGGATCAGGTTTTTCTTTTTTAACTTACATTCCCTCTTAGAGAGGGAGGGGGGGAAAAAAAGGGTGTTAAACTTACTTATTTCAACCCTTTTGCTTTTTTTGTCCAGGCCTACAGTGGGACCCCACCAGAAGAAAAGGAGAAGATTGTTTGGGTCAGATTTGAAAATGCAGATTTAAATGGTATGGCTTCGTTTCCCCCTCGTTATTTTAATGATTTTTTTTTTTTTGGGGGGTCCATGTACAATAATTCCAGTCAGTTTTATCCATGAGCATTGCTGACTCCAAATTAAGTATTTATTTTCCCTAAATTCTAAGTGATAGCTGCACTTTAGCTCAGTACCTGCCAAACAGAGTCAATAGGCCTCGTGATTCATCTGAAGGCAAACAAACTCTTGCTTGGGAAGAAATGCAAATTAGAAAAAATCCATTTATTTTCCTTAAGGTAGTTGAAAACAAAGCATAGAACTGAATTTATGTCACCTGCAGTTTGATTTCAAAGCCACATTCTGTAACTGAATCCAGTCCAGGTCCCAGGTACGTTTTCAGTGGTGTGACAGAACTCGGAGTCACCTGGAAAGGAAGAGCAGTTGGATAAAATGAGCAGGAGATTCCAGGAGGTCTTTGAGAGAAATAATAGAGCAAAGCCACAAAATACTCTTAAAAGGTAATTTGTTTATCACTTCCAGTGTATATCAGTAAATCATCCCTGCTGACTTAGGGCAGAAAACAGATTCCAACCTTTTTAAGAGGAAATGGGGATTAATTCCCACTTCAGCTCTGAGCTGTTCTGTTGGTCTGTCCCAGTTCCCTGGTTTTTTAAAGGAAGGGTAGGGACTGAGTGAGAGATGGTTGGATGCTGCAATCAGGTAGTTACTTCTTAATTAATTGAACACACCTACAAATAGTTCTGCCCAGTCTGTGCATTTCTGTAATTTCTCTATTTGTTAATGTTTATTTTGTTGGTTCTGTGCAAATTTGTTCTCTATTTAAAAAGTTTACCACGTTTCATTAATCCCTGGAGGAAGAAACAAACCACGTTGTAATGCAGAATATTTTTCTCCATTGTTTTAAATTTTAAAGCTTTTTAACTTCTCTGTTAAAAGTCTTTAATGTCTGCATTAAAGAACATATTTTGGTGGTGTTCCAGCATTAAAATTTCAACCCCTTTGGTTGCTTTGACTTCTGCCAGCAGAAAGGGGCAGTGAGAAAACACCCTCTTGTGTTCCTGACCTGCTCCTAATGGCTTTGCTGTTTAACCCCCATTTAGATACATCCAGGAATATGGAATTCCATGAAATCCACAGCACTGGGAATGAACCCCCCTTGCTGCTGCTGATTGGGTACAGTGATGGAATGCAAGTCTGGAGCATCCCTGTGAGTACAGAGCTCACCTCTCCTCCCTGCCAGGGGATTTTCTCTCTGTGTTGTGCTGCTACCTTAATATTTTACTTTTAATTTTTTTCCTTCTGAAGTGCCAAAAGCCAGCATTTCCCATCAGGATCACGTGGCCTGTGTGCAATGTGCTTGTCTGAAGATAACACTGAGCACAGATCAAACACTTGAATTCATGTACCTTCACACTGGAGGGTTTTTTACACATTATTTGTGTTAAATACACTTTGAGACTTAAACTGAGAGCTGTGTTTGACGTTAGGGAATAATTTGTAGCCCAGAAGGGGCAGATCTTTTATTTAACAGAAGAGAATAAGGGTAGAAAAAACACAAACAGGGCTTGTTTGTCCCAGCAGTGCAGGTGTGTGACAGTGTTCATAATATTCCACAGTCACATTTGCCATGTGCGTGATCTGCAGTTTTAATTTCGTTAAAATTAACAAAATTAATTTTTAATTAATCAAAAATAATTTTTTAATTAATTAAAATTAAATTTCAATTTTAATTGTGTGCACATGGCTTTGATTTCATGCTGTCACAGCCTGTGTTGCACAGTGGTTCATGGGCACGTGGTCCTGATTTGGGGGAATTTACCCCAAATTTCACCAAACAACAGAATAAAGCTTAAGACAGCAGGTCATAAAATTCTTAGCTTGAAAAAGCAGAGGGGCTCATAACACCTTGCCCTTCAGAATAAAGGAAAGAGGATGGAGTTCTACCTTTTTAAAATGCCTTTTTTTTTTAAGAAATATGTACATTTCCCCAACTTTTTGGTTGCCTTTGTAGGACATACATTTACATAGCAGTAGTTTGTAGAAAAAAAAAGTTAATTTCTACACCTAAAGTTCAGTTAAATTGAGCTTCAGGAAGTGTGGGAGAGTTTTTTCCCCTCTTGATTGCATCTTGTTGGCCGGAGATGAGGAAATAAAAAAGCTGCTGGGCTTTTGCATTGGATGGAGGGTTTGACAGAGATGGAGTAACACCTCATATACTTCACTGAATTTCGTTATTTTGTAACTGTTTGCTAAAATTTAGGAGCTTAATCCAAAAATTAGGGACATTTCAACCAAAATAACATTCTCCTGAGAAAACACTTGTAATTTCTAACTTTCCTGGGTTTGTTTTTAAAGGAGCAAAACCTAACTTTGAGTCGGGTTTATATTTTATGTTTTTAGAGCTGAAATGAGACACTAAAGCTGCCTTGGGCACTCTTTTTTTTTTTTTTGATAATTTTTTAAAAAATCTGCTTTTACACTGGATTTTGTCTTTCAAACTTCCAGAGGGCAGGGTTAGTTGGGATGTTGGGAAGGGATTCTTGGCTGTGAGGGTGGGGAGGCCCTGGCACAGGTTGCCCAGAGAAGCTGTGGCTGCCCC